GTTCCCACCATATTAACACCAAAAAAATTAAACAGGCCACTTACTTTCAAGAGGAGAGGGGCAAACACCCTGGCCCCAAACAGGGCATAGCTCTTATGTTCTGGCCACGGCTTGGTGGTGGTGGGCCATTCAGCCACGAAGCCTTCTTCAAAGCAAGTATAAACCCAAAACCCCAGAGGAAAGGCCTTTCATCAGGTGGGCTGCGGGCGCCCCTTTTTCCCTTGTTTTGCCTCGGGCTGTTTTCCATAAGGGCCGTGAGGGCATCGGGGCATCGGCACAACCTTTTTGCTTCTTTTTCCTGTGGGCCCAGAACGCAGGGCATTCTTGCGGTTAAGGAGGGCAACCAGCGGGATGGATTGCCCGTTGCAAACCCATTGGGGCTTGCAGGGGAATAAAGAAAGGACTGTCGAAAACTGTTCTGGTCCCGTTAACTTGCTCCCCCATTCGGCCTTGTTTCGGGAACCTTTGGGGAAGATGGGCTTTTTCCCCTTTCGTCTTTGGGTGCCTCCCCTTGTGAAAAATGGGAAAAAGGCCATTCCCCCTTTTTATGTACACCGTTTTTAATTAGGATTTTCAAAAACAAGGATGAAAAAGGGTGGCTCTGAAGGCATGCTGCCTGTGATTGAGACCATTATTTGGAGGGCGCAAAGGCCTGGTGCCTTTTGCCCTTTGGAAAGCAATTATCAAAAAACACCAACTTGCTTAAACCCAGGGACACCTCCTGTTTTCCAACCACGGCTTATTAGCCCTATGGGTCTGCAAAGAGGCAAGGGGGGCGGACTCCCTTCTCTGCTCAGTTTTCTCCAGTTTTCCGGGCTCCTTTCCACCTCAAAGGGGCCTTCGTTGGGGGGCTTAAGTAGCACACCGAATCAAGGAGAAGGCCAAAAAGAAGCTTCTGGAATTTGGGCCGCCCAAAACTGGAAATGCCATTAAACCATTAATAAGTCAAGTCTCCCTTTCTCTAACCCCATTCCCTTTTATTTCCATCAGTCTTTAAAAAGTTTCTAATTAAACAATGGATTAGCCGGCACAGTCTTCCTAAACAGACTTACCTGCTGTGGTCTAGACATCACCTGATGGTGGAATAAAGGACAATATTTTAATTCCCACTATGCAAGCAATAATACCCCTCGGATTTCAGGCTTCTGAGGTGGTTTCTGCAAGGGGGATACAAATATTTTTGATATTTACGCCTTGCCTTGGGAATGAGAGCCCAGCCTCATGTGAATAATATTTGTAGCAAAATGCCTGGGGAGAAAGGCTAGTCTGTGGGTGGTTCTCACCCGCATGCCCTCAGCGAACCCTGGGTGGAAGGAGCTCGAAGTTTGGGGGGTGGTTCTGGCTCAACTGGCCTCCGCACTTGATGACATGCCTTTATGAGAACTAAAACTGTGCCTGCTTTGTTAAGAGCTCCTAATGAGGAGCTACTGATCTGTGAAATCTAATTGGCTCCTCAATGGGCCCCTGCAAAGCCGACAGGCCCCTAATGAGTATAATGGACATAACACTTTGTAGCCCGAAGCCGGGCCTGGAGCTGCCATTTTCGTCCTGCATTTGCTTACAATAGGCACCCCACGAAGTCAAAGGTGGGTGGAGGAAGGAGGTGCAGGCTTAGGAGCTGGAAATGGGTGAATGATACTCAGAAAGCCAGCAAAGAAAACACTTCTCTCCGGCTCCAGTGTGGGTGGTACTGAAAAAGTGGTTCTTCAACCGGTTAGTATCTACACGGACCTGGAAAGCAAGACTTTGACCTGAAACAATGGTGCCAGACCAACTTTGAGGAGAGGGTAGCTAAGCCCTGGCCTGCCAGCCTGTGAACTCCAAGACAGCAGTGACTTCATTTTTCTCATGCCTAAGAAAGTGGCCTGCACACACTGGCACTCAACCACTTTTGCTGAATGAACAAATGTCTCTGGAGTAGAAAATGGATGCTGACCCAGCCAGCATCTCCTCAAAACCCAAGTCTTAAGCACGGAGAAAGCTGATGTTTCAGAGAAGTGTGACATCCCAGAACAGAGATTAAAAGGCAAAGGCAAGGACTCTCCCACCCCACTGGCTGCAGGGGGTCTGAGCAAGGCTCAGGCTGGCGGCTTTTCCGATCACTTCAATCTCTAAAATCTCTTTTCCGTCTTCCTTCTCCATCACCTTTGCCCGTCTCGGTGATCTCGGAAACCTGGGCCACCTTTTCTGCTTCTGTACGAATGAAGTTGGGAAAAACTTAGAGCCCTGGTCTTTCAGCAGTTTGGCTAATTTCACCTGATCTGACTGTCCTGGCACATGAGGAGGGCTAAGCATAGCTGGAAGCCCTGCGCCCAGAGAGCAGCTGTGACGGACACACATGGCAGAAATGGGACGAGCCGGTGAGCACAGTCCCACACCGCCAGCACGAGACAGTGACTGAGAAGACCTGGGCCAAGGGAGGACGAATGAGCCCTGACTTCTCTCCTAAGTCACGGGTTACTTCTCATAAGGAATATTCTGAAGAATGAGGTATTCTCTCATAAGCTTCCACCTGGCATTTCATTTTAGAAAGTAGTCGGGTTGGTTGTTGATAATACAGTGCAGGGGTCCAAGAATACAAGTTCTAGAGCCAGAGTCCTGGATCTGAACCCAGTTCTGCCGCTGACTTTGCCATATGAGCTTCGACACGTTATTTTACCTCCTTGTACTTCAGGTCAATAAAACAAGGTTAATGACAGTACAGTAACCTCCTCACATGGTGTTTGAGGACTGAGTTAACTCACCATATTGAGTGCTCAGAAAAGCACCTAGGCTATAGTAGTGCTCGTAAGTGTTAGCGATATATACTATGAAGTTAAGAATTGACAGGAACGCTCCTCTCTCCTAAGAGAAACGCGGAACTCAAAGCTCATGACCCCGGCCATAAATCTGACAATTTCGACTTTGCTTCGGGGCGTGTGAATGCCACTCGCTGCGAGGGCCTACGTGCTCTAACCACGCCCGGGCCTTCCTGGCATTCCCACGCATGCCCCAGCCCTTCCGCCCTGACAGGGGAGAGGAAAGCCACATCCAGACCAATGAGGGCCCTTCCGCTCCGTCTCCGCGTCCTTCTCCAACCACCTCTGCTTCTGGGGCTGGCGATGAGCCGAGGCTTGTCTTCTCGCTTCTCCCATAAGGGGAAAAATGGACAAGCGCAGACGGAGCGGCAAGAAGGCGCCTTCATTGGTCGGATGTGGTCTCTTCTCCCCGTCAGGGCGGAAGGGACTGGGCCATGGTGGAGAATGCCGAGAAGGCAACAACCGGCGCGGTAAGAGCACGTAGCCTCGCAGGAGTGGCATTCACACGCCCGAAGCAAGTCGAAATTGTCAGATATGGCCGGGCATGAGCTTTGATATTCGCGTTTCTCTTAGGAGAGAGAGCGCTCCTGTCAATTCTTAACTTCATGTAATAATCGCTAACACTTACTGAGCACCTGCTATGAGCTAGGTGCTTTTCTAAGCACTCAATATGTGAGTTAACTCAGTCCTCAAACCACCATGTGAGGAGGTTACTGTACTGTCATTAACCTTGTTTTATTGACCTGAAGCACAAGGAGGTAAAATAACGTGTCGAAGCTCATATGGCAAAGTCAGCGGCAGAACTGGGGTTCAGATCCATGGACTCTGGCTCTAGAACTTGTATTCTTGACCCCTGCACTGTATTATCAACAACCAACCCAACTACTTTCTAAAATGAAATGCCAGGTGGAAGCTTATGAGAGAATACCTCATTCTTCAGAATATTCCTTATGGAGAAGTACGCCGTGACTTAGGAGAGAAGTCAGGGCTCATTCGTCCTCCCTTGGGCCCAGGTCTTCTCAGTCACTGTCTCGTGCTGGTGGTGTGGGACTGTGCTCACCGGCTCGTCCCATTTCTGCCCGTGTGTGTCCGTCACAGCTGCTCTCTGGGCGCAGGGGCTCTCCAGCTATGCTTAGCCACTCCATGTGCCAGGACAGTCAGATCAGGTGAAATTAGCCAAACTGCTGAAAGACCAGGGCTCTAAGTTTTTCCCAACTTCATTCATACAGAAGCAGAAAAGGTGGCCCAGGTTGCCGAGATCACCTACGGGCAGAAGGTGATGGAGAAGGAGACGGAAAAGAAGATTTCAGAGATTGAAGGTGAGCAGAAACAGCGTCCATGCCTGAGCCTTGCTCAGACCCGCCCGGCGGCCAGTGGGTGGGAGAGTCCTTGCCTTTGCCTTTTAATCTCTGTTCTGGGATGTCACCACTTCTCTGAAACATCAGCTTTTCTCCGTGCTTAGCCTTGGGTTTTGAGGAGATGCTGGCTGGGTCAGCATCCATTTTCTACTCCAGAGAACATTTGTTCATTCAGCAAAAGTGGTTTGAGTGCCAGTGTGTGCCAGGCACTTTATTAGGCATGAGAAAAATGAAGTCACTGCTGTCTTGGAGTTCACAGGCTGGCAGGGCCAGGGCTTAGCTACCCTCTCCTCAAAAGTTGGTCGGCACCATTGTTTCAGGCTCAAAGTCTGCTTTCCAGGTCCGTGTAGATACTAAGCCAGGTTTGAAGAAACCACTTTTTCAGTACCACCCACACTGGAGCCGGAGAGAAGTGTTTTCTTTGCTGGCTTTTCTGAGTATCATTCACTCATTTCCAGCTCCTAAGCCTGCACCTCCTTCCCTCCACCCACCTTTGACTTCGTGGGGTGCCTTATGTCAAGCAAATGCCAGGACGAAAATGGCAGCTCCAGGCCCGGCTTCGGGCTACAAAGTGTTATGTCCAATTATGCTCATTATGGGGCCTGTCGGGCTTTGCAGGGGCCCATTGAGGAGCCAATTAGGATTTCACAGATCAGTAGCTCCTCATTAGGGAGCTCTTAACAAAGCAGCACAGTTTTAGTTCTCATAAAGGCGTGTCATCAAGTGCGGAGGCCAGTTGAGCCAGAACCACCCCCCAAACTTCGAGCTCCTTCCACCCAGGGTTACGCTGAGGGCATGCGGTGAGAACCCACCCACAGACTAGCCTTTCTCCCCAGGCATTTTGCTACAAATATTATTCACGTGAGGCTGGCCTCATTCCCAAGGCAAGGGGGTAAATATCAAAAATTTTGTATCCCCTTGACAGAAACCCAGCCTCAGAGCTGATCAGGGAAGTATATTGCTTGCATAGTGGAATTAAATATGTCTTATTCCAATCAGGTGATGGTCTAGACCACAGCATGTAATTCTGTCTTAGAACTGTGCCAGCTTAATCATTGTTAATTAGAAACTTTTTTAAATGACTGATGGAAATAAAAGGGAAATGGAGTTAGAGAGGGACTGAACTATTTTATGTTTATGGCATTCAGTTTTAGGGCGGCCATATTCAGAGCCTTCTTTGGGCTTCTCTTGATCGTGCTACTTAGCACGAAAGGGCTGAGGTGGAGAGCTCCGGAACTGGAGCCTGAGGCAGAGAGAGTCCCGCTGCTCTGCTTTGCAGACACAGGGCTACAGAATAAGCGTGTGGAAACAGGAGGTGTCTCTGGGTAGCAGTGATGTTTTTGATAATGCTTTCAAAGGGCACGGCACAGGCTTGCTCATAACTGGTCCTCATCACAGGAAGATGCTCTCAGAGCACTTTTTCATCCTGGTTGATCCTATAACAACGTGTACAATAGGGGAAAATGCCTTTTCCCCAGTTTCACAGGGGAGGCAACCCAAGCACAGAGGGGAAAAAGCAATCTCCCCAAGGTCACAAGGCGGCTGGGGGAAAGTTACAGGGACCAGAACAGTTTCCGACAGTCTCTTTACTTCCTGCAAAGCACATGGGTTTTGCACTGCATCCATCTCACTGTGCTCTTACCCGCAGATGCTGCGTTTCTGGCCCGAGAGAAGGCAAAGGCCGATGCCGAATGCTACACGGCTATGAAAACAGCCGAGGCAAACAAGGTAAAGGGCCCACCGCGGCCTGATGAAGTGCTTTCTCTGGGTTTGGGTTTATACTGCTTGAGAGTTCCCAGTGCTGAATGCCCACCACCACCCAAAGCCCCTCGTGGCCAGAACTAAGAGCTATGCCATGTGGGCCAGGTGTTGCCCTCTCTCTGAGCAGTGCCTTGTTTAATTTTTGTGTTAAATGTGGAAACTTTCAAAAACTCTTGCAAATGTCTTGAAGATCTGAGATTTCTTTCTTTTAGAAAAATGACTACCCTGTTAACTAATGTAATAGACCACAAAAAGTAAACGGAGGTACAAATCTTTGACAGCCTCTCCCTAGGAAAATTAAAGGGGTGCCACCCCAAAAATGTCTCTAATATGGTTCTACCTAAGTCTTCCTTACTTTTTTTTTTTTTTTTTGCAGCTGAAGCTGACCCCTGAATATCTGCAGCTGATGAAGTACAAGGCCATTGCTTCCAACAGCAAGATTTACTTTGGCAAAGACATTCCTGACATGTTCATGGACTCTGTCGGCAGCCTGGGCAAGCAGTCGGAGGGGCTGGCTGAGAAGCTGAGCTTTGGCTTAGAAGATGAGCCTCTGGAGGCAGCCACTGCGGAGAACTGATAGTTTTATACAACCTCACATGACACTTAATGAGATCTTTATTTTTTAAGATGAACCAGAATGCTCCCTCCTCACACACTACCTTCTTTGACTCTCTTCAAGTTACCATGGTGAAAATGAAGAAATGGATTTAAAGCTACTCACCCTCCTGGGAAGGGGGTGGGAACTGATGATTTGGGATTTTATTCAGGTAAGTCGGTTATATGACTTCTGATAAGATTTGTGGACTATGGGTTTGAGCCTTTGACTCCCAGACACTAATTTGTCCTTTGAAGCTGGCTTAATTAGGAATGCTGCCATTAAGGACAGGGAGAAATGGAGAGTGTTGCCTCCATGTGATTTGATTTCCCTTATTTGGAAAAATGCAGCCCAGTGTTCTTCGCCTGCTTCCAAGGTGGGAGATGCCTGTGGGTGAGGCTCGGCCACTGAGAAATATGTGCTTATAAGTTTGCCAGAAGAGCTGTAGAGAAACAGCTGCAGACATTTGACCTTCCTGGCATTTCTGTCAGCGTATGTATGAGTTATTTTAGAGGCATGCTTTCTCCGGCCCTCATAAGGAACCACTGGTGCTAGGTTTTGCAAGATTTTCTATGCACTGTGCTCCTTGCCCTAGGGCTCAGAGTGGTGGTTTCTGACTGCGTCTGTGGGGTCAGAGCTCAGTCACCACCACACAGTTCTTCTTGAAACTTATCACCCATTCTGTGATTTGGATTCTTCTTCTCAAATAATCTGTTCAGTGGTCCCACTGAGCATCAAGAAGACAGAAATAACCCAAGTGTCTTAGTAGCTGCTTCAGTGGGCTCCTTTGAGCTATTAGCCACTGCGGTGCCTGCTTGGCAGATTACTTAGGTAGCTTGAGAGCAAGTGTCTTTGTTGTGGATTCTACAGGGAAGAGCTCTGGCACCATGCGTGGAGGAGGATGGTCAGCCAAGAGATTTCCTGGACTTAATGCCTATGGCTTGTGCTGGGAGTTTGTCTGACACAGAGGTAAAGGCAGGCCTGTCCTCTGAGTAGCCTGTGTTTTTAATTCTAGGGCTCCGGGCAGTCACACAGAGGTCAGACTGAATGTTAATTCTCCAGAGACAGCTGTGGACATCTGACTTGTAAATGCAAGTCAGAGTTCATGCCCAAGTCCCTGAGTTCAAAGTCCATGCAGAATGTTTTCTTTTTCATCACTAGTTAGGAAAATTTCAAGTCACTCTGGGATATTCAGGATTGGGAGAGAAAATATAAAAGGAAGGTTTTTCTTATACCCTGAAATTGGGGTTAGGGATAGTGTGGGTAGGGGGATCCATCCAATGAGTTGTGTACAGAATTGTTAAGTGGAAGGTGGCTATCTGGAGTAAACTAATAACCACATTGGTACCCTCCATGACCAGCTCTGGCTTAGGATTTGGCCTTGTTATTAGATACTCCACCACCACCCCCAAAACTCCTACTGTACCCCTCTTCCCAAGGTGAATACTGTGAAGGACACTTTCTGGCACCAATCCCCACCTCATTTTTGGTCCTATGCCCAGATTTCAGGTTTATTGAATGGTCCCAGAACTTGGGCCAGCTTGCTTAGGAGTTTGGGGAGCTTTTAGCCTGCCTGGAAAGATACAGTATTCACTCCCCATGCTTCAAATGTTGCCCTTCTCTGTTCTAATTCCTGGGACTTAGAATTCCCAAACTACAAGTCCTGGTCACACTTCGTGAAGGCAGCAAGATGTTCCTGGGAGCGACAGATTTTAATGTGCTCAAGAGTCCTTGAGAAAGCGGTCAATTTCCCAAGATCAGCATAGGGTAGCCATTATTAAAATATATTCATCCTCCTCCTGTTTCAATCCATTAATCATTTGCTAGGAGCAACATGACATGCCCAGCATTCCCTAATCACATATATGTTTGCTCCTTCTGCTCTGAGCTCTTGCTGCCTGGGCCTCAGAAAACACCAGTTTGCCACAGTGGAATCAAGAGCAGGATATCTCAGCCTCTCTGAATAGTACGCTTTGCTCAGGTTCGTAACTTGAAAGCCTCTCGGGTACTAACGTCCTGTGATAGCTTGTCCCTTGACCACAAAAGAGCCTCAGTAGAGTAAAGTCCTGCTACAGCTGCCCCTCCATGTTAAAGTCACTTCCTCTTTCAACAAAAAATATAAATGTCGTTGTACCCATTAATGTAAATCCGATGCTTGTCTGTACCTGTCTGAATAGTAAAATCATGGAAGTCACCCATTTCCTTAGCATGGGACATTGAACCCATCCATCTGTGTGACTTTGTTTTTTTAACACTTACTAGAAAATCTGATCTTAAAACATTTGAATTCTAAACATGTAAAATGTGACAGCCTACAATTTTGTAGACAGTGAAGTAATGGCTGCTATTTATAAATGGAACTTCTATCAAAATAAGTAACTGTTTATAAAATTCAGTTTTTGTAGGATTTTCCAAGGAAAAGTCACCTTGATTGAATGTTTCTCATTAAACTTTGCAGAAGCAATTCATATACAGTACTGTTTTTAATCGCTTTTTAATATAAGGACAGAATGTTTGCAAGGAAGCCAAAGTTTATTAATAATTTTTATATAACTAAAATAGATTTGGAAGGATCTGTGATCATATTGAGGTAGGAGCAGGGGGATCACTGGAAGAATCTTAGCAATATATTGATTCAAAAAAAGAGATGAGACGTTTTACAAAGGATCTTTAGTAGTTTCATTGGATCTGTGTATCTGTCAACACTGATAATTACTATTTAAAGAGACTAAATAGTGAAAGTAAGATGGTGATATTGAGTTCTAGCCACTGTTTTTGTTGTTTCCTTATAAAAGAGGTAATAGCCAATCATTTTGTGTTTGTATTTCCATTCCTTTTTATTTCTGCTTTTGTGTAGTCTGATGATTGGATAGTCAAACTAATTCTACATTCAAAGAGCCCCAAGGGTGTAATGACCCCCCATTTGTAACAGAAATGATTCTTGTTTTAGTAATAATCCTATAAATGATACTGCTGGATTCACTGTCTTGAATTAATAGCTGGAGGAATTGTTTTGTACAACACTAAAGATCTTATGTGAATTTATGTCTTAGTTTTATTTTCAGTCTTGCTAAATAAAATGAGTCTTTGTATTTACTTTTTTATTAAAGTGAAATTTAGCAACAGCTAATATTAGGATAGGCAATATAAAGAAATAAAACATACCTGACTAGTGAGTTAAGTACAAGATCTCCCTAAAAATATATTCAGATGAAAATCTATCCACATTATCAGTATAGAAACAATAAAAACCTAATTTGTGAACATGGCATAATTCTTGGTAGGTGTTATAGAGATTTATCATTTTAAATAATTCAAACACCACTCCAATTCTGCTCCAAAGGGCAGAGATATTTTCAATTGACCAAAACTCATTTTTATATCAATTCAGTGGTGAAGTCTCAGTCTCTGTTCTGGAAAGCTGCCCAGCCTAGGGTTGCCAGATAAAATATAGGATGCCCAGTTAAATGTGAATTTATGATAAATGAGAAATAATTTTTAGTGTAAGTACTGTTTGTCCCAAATCTTGCGTGAGACATACTTATGCTAAAATAAAATTTGTTGTTTATCTGAAATTCACATTTAACTGGGTATCTAGTATTTTTGTTTGTTAAGTTTAGCAGCCTTAGCCCAGGCTGTCTCAGATTTTTTAATGGGGCTCCCAATCTTTCTGTATGGGTTTGAGAACTTCCTACACAAATAATATGAACTTATTAATATAACTGAATAGGTGAGTTAAGAGTATAGTTACTGGTGTTAGACTGCCTAAGTTCAAATCACTGCTCTACTATTTTCTAGGTGTCTGGTCTTGAATAAGATTTTTAACCTCTCTAAGCCTCAGTTTCTTCATCTATAAAATGGGTTGAGTGGATTACATGAAATAATGCCTATGAAGGGTTTTAGCACTGTGCCTACCATGTTTATGTTCAAAAATAACTTATTTTCAATCTGGGAAATTGGGCTAGATATAGCACACAACTATCAAGTGGGTATCACAAATGGAGAGTCAAACAAATGTGAAAAATAAAATTACAAGTAGGATAGCACATAGAAGAAGCAGGAAATGACATTGCAATGCAGCAAACATGGTTTTAGAATACATATCTCTCTGGAAATGTAGCATGTGGAAAATAAGCTGGTTTGGCCGTGTTGAGAAGAATTGTCCAGTTTGGGGTTCCAGTTAAGGAAAAAGAAAACTGGATAAATAGGATGGTGATAAGAAAATCAGGAATTGTTATTAAAAACCTTTTGGGGGGCTGGGGTGCGGTGCTAGTGTGTGATGCGCTTTTTGTCACTCTGGTTGGAGGCTTGTAGGTCTGGTGTCGGATTCACTGGGAGGTTTTGGTTTGGGTTCAGAGTTCGAATACCATATTCTTCTTTTTTTTTTTTTGGGTTTGTTTTGGGGTGTGTCTGAGTGCATGGCAATCCCGACTGTTCCTTACTGTTACTGAAATTAGAATATATATGGAAAGTTTTGATTGGGTCCGGGAGTGGATGTGTTGTTTATTTTTTTATTATTAGATAATTTATTTGTTGTGTTTTTGTTTTTTTCGTGGTCGTTGTGGTGGTTGTTTTTGTGTTTGTGGTTGTGGTGTGTGGGGGGTTTTTGGGTGGTGTTTTTCGGTTGTTGTGTTTTGGATCTGTTTTGCTGTTTTTGGTGGCTGCTTTTGTGATGCCTGTGAGTCTAGCTTGACTTGGGAGGTTTTGTCTTTGGTGCAGGTGGATTGTGCGTTGGAGCCAGGATTTGAGGGTTCGTGAGCTAGGCTGTCCGCACAGCACTTTTGAATGCTGTCTGTTTGTTGGGCAATCTATTTAATGTTGGAGACTCTGTCCTCATAAAAAGAAAAGACACAATTTGAATTACTTTTATTTGGGTTGGTTTTTTTGTTGTAAAAGATAGTTAAGAAATAGGAATGGTCTCATGGGTTGATCGCCCGAATAGACAAAAGGGATATATTAGGATTTCATTTACAAAAAGTTGGTGGCTCGTAGAGTGGTCAGCTAGCTTATCTCTATTAGTCCTGCGCGACCAGAGAATTGTGATGAATGTAGCTTGTAAGTATGGTTGTTGTTTATGAAGATATGTTTATGGTATTAGTATGAGCGAAGTGTGAAATGGTGAGGAGTGTGAGTTATCTGCAAATAAGAATAAGAGTTGTATCGAGTCCTAGTGGTTATGTTTGTAGCGTTGTGGGTAAAATGTTCTTCTTCTGATGGGTGCTCTAGATGTAATTTGGGGATAGATGTCTGCGCTTTTATTGTTGGATGTGTTTTAGTATTGTATATGTGTCGGTATGAAATTGTCAAATATCTTCTGAAGGGCCTGTTTCTTATGTATGGTGTGTAGAATTCTGTGTTGACATTTTCTAAGCAGAATTTTGTAATGCTGTAGCATGGTTTGCAATTAGGGATGCTTGTCGATGGGCTACCTCCCTGAACTCATTTAGACTGGGACAATGGGCAATCAGTTTCTTCCATTCTCGTCTTCTAGAGCTAAGTACCAGGCAACAGAATTTTGTCGATTTTTTTATCTGTCTTTTTAATCTCCTTTGAAATTGATTTTATTTTTTTTTCAGTTTAGCTGTTATTTTAAGGATAGAATATTTTCAAATTTTTTTTTTTGGAGGGGAGGTTTTCAATTTAATTCAGGTCCTTTGGACTTACATAAGATTGGAGATATGTTTTAAATAGTTTTTACTTGATGGTTTTTCTATTTTGTTTATGGTGAAGATGCGTTATGACTAGGCGTGTTGTGTTAGGATTGATTTATTAATTGCGTGTTGGCTCTGGATGTTGGCGTGTTTAGGAGTCAATTTCTATTCTATGTGTTCCTTGGGTGTCCTGTGAGATTTTCTGGTGAGCGTAAGTTGAAAGGACTATTGTTTACTGGTGATTTGTAGAGGGGATTTTGATCTCTTGATTGTTTCGTATGATGATTAGGGTAGTAGAGGTGTGAGATGTATGTGTAGGTTAAAGTTGGACTGGAGGTGGTGCCAGGAAGAAGAATTATGGAACTAAGATATATGAGAGGAGATTCGTGTGGGTAGTGTTATGAGGATATAGGTGAGAAGAAGGAGAGATGAGGTACAACTATGTATTAATTATGAAATTAGATGTGGAAACGAGGATCTATATTGTTGGACTGGGGCCACTCTTGATAATTTATTTGTCTCCAGTTCTATTTTTCTATAAGCTTTCATAGAGATGTTGTAGAGATGAAAAGTAATCTTAGAAATAAATCCACAGTAGGCCAGGCGAGGTGGCTCACACCTGTAATCCTGTCACCTTGGGAGGCTGAGGCAGGAGGATTGCCTGAGGCCAGGAATTCAAGACCATCCTGAGCAAGACCCCATGTCTCCAGAAAAAAGAAAGATTACCGGTTGTGTGGTGGCATGCTTGGTGTAGTCCAGCTACTTGAGAGCTGAGGCAGGAGGATGGCTTCAGCCCAGGAGTTTGAGGTTGCAGTGAGCTATGATAATACCACTGCACTATTGCCCAGCAACAAAGACCTTGTCTCAAAAAAAGAAAAAAAAAAGAAAAAATCTATAATAAAGCCATCGTGGTCTTTCCCAGGGTTCCTTTACAGAGTAAAGCCTCAATAAATATTCACTGAATGGATAAGGGGATGGGAAGATGACCTTGCCTTGTAATTAAAAGAAGAGAGACCTGATCTATTAAATGAAGGAACAACTACTTGTCACAGTGACACAATGACTTGTCATGTCAAGTGACTACTTATTACCAGGATTACTGTCACCTGGTTTATACATTCTATACATCTGTGAGGTATATGTGGTTTTAAAATGTTTTCCAAATAGCATATCACTTAAAAGTATTATATTTCAGACTCGCCCAGTCCTTCCTCTACACATCCCTTTACCATGATCTCCTTTCTTTATGACACCACTTACTGCTGGCTAGCTCCTTCCAGCTTTGTGTCTCCACAGCGAACATCTGTCATGCTGACACCGTGAGGGATTGTTGTGGTCATTTTTAAATTTTTATCACTTTTTTTTTTTTTGGAGTAGGAATCTATCAAGACCAGAGACATTTTATTTGAACATGATTACTCATAATGTCTTCAGCAGTCCTACTTTACAGATATAACCCTGTTCCGTGCACCATAGTAAATGGCCAGAGACTTCCCAAAAAGAAGTCCCTTACTTCAAGGACCTGAGGTTGCTGCTCAACGTGATTTTCCCAGAGCAGAACATGTGAAATTCCATCTCTGCTCCTGGAGGCTGGAGAAAGGTATGAAGAGAAGAGAGTGAGGATACTACCCCTTCTTTCCAGAAGGCTCTAATTTAAGCTCAGCCACCGTGTCAAGACAAGACAACCGGGAGAACAAACTTTAGCCCTTTCTCTAACATGATAAGCATCCCACTTCATTAAGTTGCATTAAAGTCTGAGAATCTTTTAACAGTAATTACAGCCAAAAGGGCTTTCCTTAACAAAACTGGTCTCTTTCTACAGGCCCGGGGCACCTGCGGTTCCACCATCTGACTATTAAATTTAGTCTGGCTCCGCCTCAAGTTTACAACCATACTGCCCATAGAGCTGGACACACAGGAGGCTCCAGGACTGGACTGAAGTGTGCACTGAGCTCACGCTGGAGCTACTCTGTCTGGAGCTGCCTGTGCCCCCTCTAAGGTGGCACGGGCCACAGGTAGCCACTTGCAACCGCCCTTGCAGCGTTATTTCAGAAATGAGGTGCGATCTTAAAAAGAATTCAAATGTCTCACTCAGTTTTTCCTGTGAGTTGCACGCTGAAATCTTTCTTTGTATATACTGGGTCAAATAAAACATTCACATGTTATTATTCTGTGTGCCTGCGAGACATTTTTAAGTTACAGGCGTGGATCGCGTTATGCTTCTACTGGGCAGCACTGGTCTAAAGGATGACAGCATAGAAGCCACACGTCTGAATCATGCCTTGTCTCTAGGAAGCGTTTTCTTTCACGTCGCCTAGCGGCTGCTGGCGAGAACGCTCCGGCATACTAAAAGCCATGCCCGCGCCCTAACGGCGTCTCATCCCGGTCCCTGCGCCCCAGAAATTTCAGTTCACAGCTCTCTAAAAGCCAGGGACGGGCAAAGCC